TCTTTTCTTTCTTTCCTGTCTTTTTAATGACCTTTTGTTTCCTTCATGTATGATGTCTTTGATGTCATTCCACAACTAGTCTGGTCTTCGCTCATTAGTGTTCGGTATGTCAAATCTGTTCTTGAGATAGTCTCTAAGTTCAAGTGGGATAACTCAAGCTTGTACTTTGGCTCTCATGGGCTTGTTTTAATTTTCTTCAGTTTCAACTTGGACTTGCATAAGAGCAGTTGATAGTCTGTTCCACAGCTGGCCCCTGGCCTTCTTCTAACTGATGATATTGAGCTTCTCCATCGTCTCTTTCCACAGATGTAGTTGATTTGATTACTGTGTATTCCATCTGGTGAGGTCCACGTATATAGTCACCATGTACCTTGTTAAAAAAAGGTATTTCCAATGAATAGATTGTTGATCTTACAAAATTCTATCATGTGATCTCTGGTGTCATTTCTATCACCAAGGCCAAATTTTCCAACTACTGATCCCTCTTCTTTGTTTCCAACTTTTGCATTTCAGTCACCAGTAATTATCAATGCATCTTGATTGCATTCTTGATCAATTTCAGATTGCAGAAGTTGGTAAAAAAAAAAAAAAAAAACTTTAATTTCTTCATCTTTGGCATTAGTGGTTGGTGCATAAATTTGAATAATAGTCGTATTAACTGGTCTTCCTTGTAGGTATCTGGATAGTATCCTGTCACTGACAGCATTGTATTTCAGGATAGATGTTGAAGTATTCTTTTTGACAATCAGTGCGACACCATTCCTCTTCAGTTTGTCATTCCTAGCATTGTAGACCATGTGATTTACTGATTCAAAATGGCCAAACCAGTCCATTTCAGCTCACTAATGCCTAGGATGTCAGTCTTCAAGCATTCCATTTCATTTTTGACAACTTCCAATTTTCCTAGACTCATACTTTGTACATTCCACATTCCAATTATTAATGGATGTTTGCAGCTCTTTCTTCTCATTTTAGTTGTGCCACATTAGCACGTGAAGGTCCCAAAAGCTTTACTTCATCTACGTCAAGATCAACTCTACTTTGAGGAGGCAGTTCTTCCCCAGTTGTGTTTTGAGTGCCTTCCAACCTCAGGGGCTCATCTTCCGGCCCTGTATCAGACAGTGTTCTGCTGGTATTCATAAGGTTTTCACTGGCCAGTTTTTTTTAGAAGTAGATCACTAGGTCCTTCTTCCTAGTCTGTCTTAGTCTGGAAGTTCTGAAATCTATCCACCATGAGTGACCCTGCTGGTATTTGAAATACGGGTGGCATCGCTTCCAGTGTCACAGCAACATGCAAGCCACCACAGTATGACAAACTGACAGATGAGTGGGGGACTAAAACTGACTGAATGCCACAGTTTAATTTTAAGCAGTTAAAAAGCTAGTTGTCTGTACCAGTTGTCTCTTTGTAAGAAAACTGGTTCATAAATTGCCTAATATTTCAGCTATCTGTAACCCTTATCCATGCCTTGATTGTTCTGAAAGCCCCTGCAGAGCATGACTGCTGCAAACCATGCTCACTCTGTTTCATACTTAGTAGCTGTAACCACTCCTTGATGTTTCATACACCCAACAACATTATAGTCTTTTTTTTTTTCCTTCAGGGTATCTTCAGTAAAGAAGATTTGTCGTAAAGCAGATATTTTAATAAAGTAACATTTCCTTCTAATTTTTCTTTCTGTAACAGGGGTTGGCAAACTTTTTCTATAAAGGGCTGGACAGTAAATATTTTAGGCTTGCAGGCCGTAAAGTCTCTGTTGCAACTACTCAACTCTGCCGTTGTAGCATGAAAGCAGTCATAGGCAATATGTAAATGAGTGAGCCTGTCTGTGTTTTAATGAAGCTCTGTTTACAAAACCAGGAGGTGGGCCACATTTGGCCTGTAGGCCATAGTTTGCTGACCCCTGCTCTAGAAGCAACATTTTTTTTTTTTTAGCCTTGATAAGCGTTTAAAATTTACTGAAGTATAAGCTGTAAAGAATAACAAGCATCAGGAAACCTGCATTAAGGCCTGGTTCCTCCATGGGAGCTTTCATTTGATGCAAGTTAGTGATCTTCCTTTGGCCTCAGTCTTCTCTATAAAATGGAAGGATTAGACAAAATAATTTTTAAGATACCTTTCACCACTGACATTCTCTGTTTCTGGAAAGACACGGGGCATCTGTTGATGAAATTCACCATTAATAGGAATCATAGAGAGAAGTTTTGCATCCAGAGGGCTCTGGATAAGCTAGAATCATGGACTAACTCTCACAAAGTGAAATTTAGCAGAGAAAGGTATAAAATCTACTATTTAGGCTTTAAACAATACAGCTACATGAAGACAGAATGGGAGAGCCCCAGGTGAAAATTTTGGGCCTCAAACTGAGGACTGATTAGTTCATTATGAGTCAACAAAGTAAAGTGGCTGCCCCAAAAGGCAGGGTAATTTTAAGCTCCATTTGTGGAGAGAAGTGTTCAGGAAGAGAGGGCCAGAGTCCTTTCTAAACTCCGTGCTGAGGAGACCAGACCTCAAGCACTGGGATCAGTCTTAGACGCCACACCTTGTCAGACTTTGATACCCTGGAGAGAGTCCAGAGAATAGTGAACAGTATTACAAGGGAATTCAAAACCTTTCCTTGAGAGCAAGGTTGAAGGAAGTGGACATGTTCAGGAGTGGGGCAGGAATCAGGAGGGAGCAGAGACCAGGAAAGAGGAAACTGCTAAATGCAGAATTTCTGTAGAAAAATGGGTTTTTAAATTTTTATACCTTTAACTTCTGTATTAGTGTCCAAAACATAATAGGCACTCAAATATTTATTGAAGAAAGCCTCTAAATATGTGAAGAACATTTGAGTGGACAAGGTTTTCTACTTGTTCTTGGTGACGTCAGAGGCCAGAACGAGGACAGTGGGAGGTAACCACAAGGAGGCTGCTTTCACCTCAACATGAGGAGAAACAGTCTGTCCATCCTTGCATCTGAGGCAGCAAGAGTGCCGCTTTGTGAGTCCCACGATAGCCTAAGGATGGTCCTACAGATCCTGGTAACTACCTTTTAGCTCTGTTATATTCAGCTGCTTCAGAGAGCAGTTTCGTTGTATCATCTTATGGCCCCTTTGGCCCTGAGAGTCTGCTGTGTTTTGCATTTTCCACACACAGGTTTCCTGTCAGATTATCCATGTCTCCCAAAGTGCAGTGTGAATATGAATAAGTGGTACTTCTGGTGAGGTATGAGATAATTTTAGCTACTGTGAAGGCTAACTTTTAAAAATTTTAATATTTATGTATTTCTTTTAATGTGTATTAGAAAAATGGAACTAGCACATAATTGTGTAAGACAAGGCTACATTTAAAAAGCAAGTAAATTTAAAGTTGATTAATGAGAAAATTAAATAATGATTAAAAAAAAGCAATCGTCATCAAGTCAATTTCAACTCATAGCAACCCTATAGGACAAAGTAGAACTTCCCCATAGGGTTTCCAGGGAGCAGCTGGTGGATTCAAATTGCTGACCTTTTGGTTAGCAGTCGTAGCTCTTAAGCACTGCACCACCAGGGCTCCAAGTAAATAATAGTACTGATACGTTCAGATATGTCGAAAATTGGGAAAGTAGTATGTGAATAGCTAAACTGTATTCTATGTATTATACAATTCTTTTAAATTTACAAGTGAGACATATAAAAGCTATTTGATTTTCTTTTCTAGTATCCTAACCTTCTCTTCTGCCTAGAATAGGACACATCCAGTCTTCTCTATCCAACAGTCCGTCGCTGGACAAGACTCAGATGATTTCTTTTTCATTAAAAGAAAAAATGCAATGCAATAATGCCCATAAATGAAACTTTAAAAGAGAAAAAATTAAATAATAGCAAAAAAAAAAAAGTCTGTCACAATCCTTCCACCCCAGTTTATCAGTTCCTTTCATTCCTCCTTCATTGTGTCCAGTCTTTGAACTCATTGTGCATACTTTTTCTCAGGGGCTAGATGTACTTTATATTTCCATTTTAAAGTTTGCATACCAAATTGCTTTATTGAAAACTCCTCTTTACTGCATATTTTGGTCTAAGGTTGTTAACCCCTAGTCATTCCTCAAACCTAATGCAGTCTTTTCTTGTACTTCACTTTGACCCAGAGGATGTCTTTGAAAATAAAACGGAATTTACGTTGTAGTTCAGGAGCTAGAGTTTCAGCCACAGCTCCAAATACCTTCCTTGGGAAGCTTTAGATACCCTCATTTTTCTTGTCTGTAATTTTCCTTGGTGTTTTATAATTTAAAGCTTTCACATGAATCCTACCATTCCATGTTTTGCCTCTGATCTCCATAGTTGGCCTTGTATCTGTAATATCCTCTCTGCAATTCACGGAGTCTCTTTCTTCCCCCACTTAAAAATATTTCAGAAATTCATGAGGACTCCATGTCCCTTGGATGGAGTTACTAGTTTTACTCTGTTTGAATAAATACCTGTTGCCATCTAGTCGATTCTGACTTATAGTGACCCTGTAGGACAGATAACTGCCCCATTGGGTTTCCAAGAATATAAATGTTTACAGAAGCAGATTGCCACATCTTTCTCCTGCAGAGTGGCTAGTAGGTTTGACCTGCCGACCTGTTGGTTAGCAGCCAAGCACTTAACCACTGTGCCATCAGGGCTCCTTGTTTAAATAAAGCATTCTCATTGTGCTCCCTTCCCCCATAACCATGCTCCAGGCATTTAATACATATTTACCTTTTTATATATGTGTATAAAATCAAATTATTACCATATTACTTATTTTATGCATTATTTGATGTGTAGTTTAGTTTTGGATATGCTCTGTATACACATCCATTTCACTATTGTGGGTCAGGATATGAATGTAACCCAGGAACTATGATCATTCACACTGTCTTGAGCAGTCATGGTATATGGATAATTAGACTTTTAATGATTGTGTTATAGAAAATTGAGCTCTGTAGAAAATGTACTCTATATATACAGACAAAAAATAATTGGTTGTTCTTTTTGTGGATTTTTTAAAAGGCTGGATTACAGTGGACCGTCTAGAGAGTTTTTCTTCCTGGTATCCAGAGAACTCTTTAACCCATATTATGGCTTATTTGAATATTCAGCCAATGACACATACACAGTACAGATAAGTCCCATGTCTGCTTTTGTAGACAATCACCATGAATGGTAAGTTGTTTTTTTTTTTTTTTCCCTAACACTTTTCTTTGGTTGATTTGCTGTGATATTAATTTTTATATGAACCCACATTTTAAAACTTTTTTTTCTTGGAGGAAATCATATTTCAGTTAAATACCTCCCCTGAATCTTGGTTTTGTTTTCAAATTTAAATAACAGGCAGTCTCCAAACTAGGAATAGATTATGTTCCATAAGATCAAGTTTAAGAGGGTTAGGTAGAATTAAAAAGATTTTTCCAATAGAAACAAAGTTTAAAGATGATGTTAGATTCCCACTGAGATCCCTGAATCCCTCTCAGCAGCCCTGGGCATCTGTGAGGTGAGGTGGGGTGGGTGGGGTTAGTAGGGGAAGGGCCTGACCCAGAAATCAGGCAGCTTTCTAGAGTAGTCCTTGGGGAAGTAGCTA